GTGATCTTCCCGGTTCCAGTAATCTGAAGGTTAGAGATTTCTTGGGCCAGAGATTGTATCTTGGTGTTTAATAATTTGTGATAGATTTTCTTCATTGATTTATCTACCCACCTGGACTTCTGGTATTCATAACATCATGTGGCAATGAGTTCCGCAGCTTAATTGGTGTGGGGAAAAATACTTCTTTTTGCTTGTTTTAATCCTGCCACCTGGTAATCTTGTGGGCTGCTCCCGAGTTGTTCTTTGGAGTGAACAAGCATTCCCAATCTCGTTCTCTATGACAGAAGTGATTTTATAGAGCTCCGTGACATTCCCTCCCCATTGTGTCTCTTTCCAGGCTGAAGAGTCCTTTGAAGTCCTGGGAAATATTTGAAGGCAGTTTTGAAATGCTTTGGTGAAGGACTCTCTTCCCCTGGGAAATGCTGAGCATTTGAAAGTCTCCTTACTGACACCACCTGTACTGGACTGGTCTAGCTCTGGCAGAGTTAAGGAAAGGTTCTCTGTAAGTGGTTGTGGAAAACCAGAATTTTCAAAACTGTCCTGGACTCTGCTGGAAACCTCCTGGATAGGTCTTGTAATGCAAAATATTGTTACTTAGACCCCATAGTGGCCTCATTCTGGCTGCACCACATACAGGGGTCTGGAGCACCACGCTGGAAGGGGTTCAGCATGCCAGCTAAACAGGGCTGGGCTGTTGAGACACCTTCTGTTAGTGATCCTGCATCCCACTGCACCCTAGATTTGTCCTGAACAGACTGCTGACACATGGCCATCATTCATCTGCTGTGTCATTATGGCAGAACAGAGCCACCACATCCCACTCGGGATGATGTTATATAGTACTGGGCCAGGAAGGGGCTCCATGACTTAGGCTCCTGCTCCAGGGTACCTTGTTAGTAGCCTTTCTGGAGAGGGAAGGGAACATACCTCTCTGTGGAGTGGGCAGGCTGAAACCAGGTGGTGATATTTGACCACTTGCTGCAGCACGTGCATATAAAAAGGTTGGGATTAAGAAGCAGTATATTTCAAAAGAAATTAGCTAGCAAGACATGCACATTTAATGTTTATGGTTTGGAGATTAAGACACTGAGCTGGAACTTGGGATATCTGGGTTAAATCCCAGCTCTGTCAAAGACTTCTCAGAACACGCTGGGCAGGTCATGTAAGGTAATACTTTCAGAAAGAACTCAGGATTTGGGAGCTTAAATCCAATTGACTTCCAGTAATTTCCTAAGTGTTTAAGGACAGGATTCACAAAAAATTCTGAGGCATTCTGATGTTCAGCATTGCAGTATCTGCTGGTGTGCGCCACAGACCTCAGGCAGATCAGTGTGTGCTTTGGGAAGGTACTTCAGCATGTGAGGAGGCCTGTAAGTGACAACTGGGGACTCCGGGAAAGTGTGAGTTTGTGCAGGGCCTGCAGTGGCTGTGCACTTCATACAATAGCACTCTGGGCTTAATGATGGTCTCTGGGTGCAACCTCAGCACAAATACATACTAATAAGTGTCTAAGTAGATAGATCCTATAAGAGCTTTTATTTCAGCTCCCTGAGGTGTGAATACTAATACCAACAATCATGAAAAGATTTTGCGTATTTAAAATCGAACAAGCTTCATTCTATAGAAATAAACAGTCAGGGCTGTGTTTCCAGCCAGTGAAGTACAGTGACACATTCATTTGCTGGTTGAGCACATGCCCAATGGGGAGCTGGCTTGTGCAGGAGGCTAGTGAGGGAAACGACTGTGTGCAGGGACACCACTCACCTGTACAGCTGTAAACCTGCAGCTGGCTTTCCTGCCCCTTTGAAAGAGCAGCCCTAAAGGTCCTTTTCTCTCTTTTAAACCTTTATTAAACCTGTCTGGAAACTATGCTTGTTTCATCTCCTGCCAGGATTACAGATGGTAACAGCCAGTTTGATAAGGCCCTTTGAGACCAGCTGTGGCCTGAAAGAAGCTGGAGAGTTCCTTAAGTACCATGTCAGGTGGGCTCTGAGACTGTCCCAGACATCTTTGCTTGCTAATTATCCATCCTGGAAATGATGGTTAGAGTTTTTATTAAGGGTGCTTATTAGCTGGGTGCTTGTGAGCAGTAAGAGCCTGCAGCCTGCTCCAAGAACTCCCTTCCTGCATGAAATGGGTGCAGCCACCTTCCCTTGGGAAGGCCCCCTTCCTCTGGAAGGCAGCATGGGAGCCTGGCTCACCTCTTCTCTGCTTCCATGTTATACAGCCTTTTGCTCACTTTTGCCTGTCTGGGACACACAGCCTGCATCAGAGGCACTAGCTGCCTCCAGTGAGCTGCAAAAGGACAATTTCATAATGAATGAGGGTGATTTGCTAAGTGGGGGGTCCTGGAGCCCAGCCATAATTGTGCTGCTGCTGCTTTATCTCAGCCTCACACCTGCTCATGTAATGGCCTGGCTGTGATCCGCTCCCTCCCCCATGTGCATGCTTTACCCTTCCGCTCCTAGAGGAGCCGTCAGTTCTCTGGCCTTGCTGCAGTCCCTCACCTTTGCTGCCCTCGCCTGCAGCCTGTGGGTGCACACAGATTCCCCCTTGAATTGCAGCAGGGCCACTGGGCTGGCTCTAATGGACATGACTGCTAACCTGGCTTTCATGTCCTAAGTAACAAGCTTTTAAATGAAATCCTTTTGCCCAAAAGAACTCCTAGAGACAGCTTTCTTCAAGTGATTTTTTCCTTAGAAAACTTAGTCACACAAGAATATCGTATATATTATTCCTGCCAGAGAGAATATATGCAGCTTTTTTTTTTTTTTTTTTTTTTTTCCCCTGCATGCATTCAGTACTGGTGAAAATGGTTGGATTGACAGTGCAGGCAATTAAAAGCTTTTGAAATCCAGAGCAGATGGAATTTTACCCAATTTATATGTTGTCTTACTATAAATGTGCCTTACTGAATTCAAGCCAGTGAACTTCCAATTCTGTGCTTTAACCTCTGGAAGATGTTACCACCCTTATGACAGTTGGGCTATTATATTGACTGCTCCTCTGTAAATGGTACATCCCTTTAATATGAGGATGTAGGGTAGTGAGAGAGGTGAAGAAAGCCCCAGCTCAACCTCATGTGGCAAGTTCTCTGCGTTTTTTCCTTATGGGATCTTGCAGCCCAACATGCTCCTGGCCACCTTACGTCTCTTCCTCTTAACAGGTTCTCTCTTCAGCTGATAGACAAACTTCACATAAAGGTAAAAGTCCCTGTCTCTTAATACATGTCCCCTGAGCCACCTGTCATCCTGTAGGTGCTTCTTTCTTTACACTAATCTGAAACAACAATCTCAAAATCCAGAAGTGAGAGAGGAAAGAAAGGGGGAGGGGGGAGAGAAAAACCTTTTTTCTCGTGAGACAGGAATGTCAATAAGTTTGAATTATGGACCTGCTGTAATTAAAAAACACATAACTATTTTTTTTTAAATGCAGTTGTTTTACTTAATTGATTTTGCTGCCAGGACCAAAGGGAATTAATTAAATAAATAAAATGCACCTTCCTAGTGAATTACTGGTGGCAGCTGAGTCTCTGTTGGAACCTAATTGCTGCAAATGCTCCAGTTTTTTTCTAGCCGTAGTTTTCTGTGGAAGGGGCTGGAAGGGAAGGGGTAGGGTAGTGTGGGAGGGGGCTCATTCCCTGGCAGCTGCGGGAGGGAACAGGCTGCTCCTTGTATAGTATTTTTCTTCCTTGTCAGCAAAAAGAGTATTTGTTTAACGCTTTGCATGAAGACTTTGCTTAGAAGGTCTTTATTCATATTTAATTACTAGCTCGCTGCAGCTCCCATCTTTAATTACCTTTTAAAAAGCAGGTTATAAAAATGCACTGACATTCTTTCTTTTCTGTTACTGCATAAATTACAGGCTTCTCAGCTGCTCACCCGAAATCAGTCCAGCCTGTGGGAAGGGTGCGACAGGTTCCCTTTTCTGACTCCTGGATACCTCAGAGCTTATCTGCCCCTTGCTCTACAGAGCAGGACAGAAACCCTTGACTAGTGTTATAAGAACTAGCTCCATGCCTGAAGCCACATAAGCATGTGGGCACTCCCTCTGAGCTAATTAACGGTGCGGAGGGGCCTGGCTAATGAGCCAGGCTGATGCCACACTACCCTGGTAAGAGTGTTTTCAGGGCCCAAGCTGTCCAGTGCTGCATTGAGGATCTCTAGCAGGGTGCTGTGTTATGCAGGGCAGACAGGCCTTTGCCCATCTCCCATTGCCTCACCCATGTCTGTCTAGGTTTTTGCTTCCTGGACATCCTCCTGGTGAATCTACTTCTTTATCTGCAACTTTTCTTATAGTCTAGTCCTGGGTTTCATAACCAGAGTTGCTAATACTTTCCTGCCCGCAGAGTGCTTTGCTGTCCCCACCTGGTGCTTTTTCTGAGCTGAGAACACTGGTTACTTTTACTGGAGGCATAAGAAAGTCCATCACATAAAACATGTTTTCAGGCCAAGTCGTCAGAGGTGCAAACTGCAATTTTTATCCCCCTGTCCTTACCACTGCCCCAGGCCATGTGCTGGCTTTCACCATGTAAGCTGGCTGATGCTGCTGTAATGCATGGGAACACACACTGTCAGATTTCACAGTGTGATGGTGGGTGGTATTAAATACCTGCAAAAGAATTACATGCAAAGGGACAGCTATTGGCTTCTGCACCCAGTAATAGCCAAGGATGCTGACCATAATCGCTCCAACCTGTTTACAGAGCAGCCTGGAGGGGTCCCTCACATGCTGCCTGGCCACTGCACGTCCTAGATGAAATGTGCTGCTGGGGCTCTGCCACAGGTTTCCATAAGCAGAGTATCTCCAGGGCATTTTGGTGCTTATCAGGCTTCACTGGGAAGCCAAGGAGTGACAAGGCTTAGGCAGGGGACACAGGAAGGATGAAAGGGCTGCGCCTGCCCAGCTTTGGCATGTGCAGTCCCTGACCTGTGGGCAGGCCTTTCCTTAAGATAGTCGCTGGCACTCCAAGCTGATGCCTCTTTCTCTTCTCTTGGCAGATAAAAGAGATCTTCGTGAGCTTTGAGGACACTCCCATGGGAGCAGCATCACTAGCCCAGGTGCACAAGGCAGTGCTCCAGGATGGAAGAACAGTGGCAGTGAAAATTCAGCACCCAAAGGTTCAAGCTCAGAGCTCCAAGGATATTTTGCTCATGGAGGTAAAACTGTTGACTTTGACTTACAGAGCAATTACCATTGAAACTTGTGGGGGCCACATTCACCTATGATATAAGCAAGTATAACAACATGGTCCTGTAGCTTTGAAACCTCCACAAAGATGGAGGTTTGGTCCTGTGGGTATAAACCAGAAAGTTGGTGAGAATTGCAGTGAGGGTGATTGTGTGGGTGAGAGGCTGAACAAGAGAGTAAGACTGAAGGAAGGCAGAAGGAGAAGACAAGTAAACATGAATTGATATCTAAGTGAGTCCATATGAGTCCTGAAGTCTCTCTTCTGCCTGTATGCCCATTAACTGGTGGATTAAACTGATCTCTGTTCCCCTTGCATTCAGGGCTGTGTGGCCGAGGAAAAATCATTCTCCATGATTAGCATGTTTTTTTTCAGTTAAATTCCAGTGTGGATTCAACAGTGGCTAAGCTTGCTGTGATTCAGTTCTGTTTCTTGATCAGCTCCTTAATGCTGAGCTGATTCACTCTGGAAACAAAACCACTGAAATATGGAGAAGGTCACCTAACAGGGGCAAATGCACAAATGAGGGATTCAGCTAGGAAAAAAGTTTTAGTGCCTGTGTCCTGTTCCTCTCCTGAATGGTGGGTACCACTCATCTTCCCAGTGCAATGCTGTAGCTTCTCCCAAACTTCTAAGTCTAGTCCATTGAAGGGAAGAACTGGAGAAAAGCTGTAGCACTGCACTTCATTGCAGTAGTCAAAGATGCCAGTGGTATGGCAGGGGACATGGAGATGGGGCTGAGGTGGAGGAGAGGGGAAGGATTAGGTCTGTAAATGGTAATGCTAAAGCTTTCAGTTCTCCTAGTAAGCCTATATCTGTACATATAGTACAGTAATGTGCACATCCATTGGCAGACAAGTATGGCCATGGGACTAAAGAGGGGAAGATTAAGCTGAGGGGGTCTGATAGGGGTTTAGAGGGTACTGCTGATGCAATGACACACAGTTCTCCATCACAGATTAGGAATCAAAGATTCTGCCAGCACCCTCTCAGAGAAGCACATAACTAAAGCTTCTTTAGGCATCTAAAACACTCTGCTTTGAGCATCCTGGCTAGTCTGCAAAGAAACACAGCTGGTTCCAGCTAGAGCACATCAGTTTGCAGCTGAACATTTATTTTGAACTTATAGTGAAATAAATTCTTGGGTTCAATAAAGATATCCCAGTAAGATGGGATATGTCTGTTTCAGTGCTGGTTTGAGAAGAGAGAACTGTTTGAACTTGCTTTGGGTCCAGCTGTAGATTTGGATTTGGTTCAGGTCCTCTCCAGGACTGACTGCCATGGTGTGCCCGATGAGTTTGCTTTTGTGAGTTGTCACATGCACAACAGTTCTCAGGGGGCTTATGGCATCCTTCACTCCTGCTCAGAAAAGGGTAATAGAAACTAAGCAGTCAAGGAAGAAGGATGTGCAAGGTAATGAAAGACTGTGAGACCAGGGCAATAAGAGGATTGTGTATGAATGAGCCAAGTCCTAGATTCACCTTGGGACATTTGCCCTTTTAACAGTGGGTGTAACAGAAAAAATCTCCCCTCCGCGCTATGTTGCTGTGATTGCTGGTTATACTGGTAAGAGACATTTAAATAAATAATTTTACAATGATTCCTGTCTTTTCTGGTTTTAGACTAATTCTCCTGGGAAACTTGAAACTAAACCAGTGTATTTTGTTTTGGCGATTTAGTATTGATGTTCCTCTACAGACAGTCTAGTTTGTCATCCTCGAGATCTGTTGTGTACACACGGCTATGGGAAAGTAGCTCATGACATGACACATGCAGTCTTGTTTTTAAAGGGTCTCTTGTGGAGTGTTGGCTTACATGCATCATCATATCCTAATAGGGGACTGTTTTTGTGTAGGCTGTACTAAAAGCCTGTGTGCACTGAGGTTCTGGTCCTTTAAGAATCAGACAGACATTGCAGCTAGGTAGGAAGTTGATTTAAATATTGATGGAGATGGTCTTATTTAGAGACTAATGGGAAGGAATCTGAGTGGGAAAAGCTAGATGGAAAATTCCTAAATTCACTTGAGATTTCATAGCATCAGTGCTGACTTTTTAAAAATCGGTACAGCATCTGATAAATCCAGAGGGAGCTACCTCATTGCTCTTACAACACAACTTTTTTCAAGACAATATGTTAGACAGATGTCAGAAAATGGACGGACCAAATAGCTATTGAGTATGTCCCTGCTGATGGTCAAGTTGGCAAATTGATTCAAAAGAGCATTTAAAGAAAGCAAAAAAACCAATGCATGAATTTTCTCACATCAGGCACCAATGAATTAATCCTGCAGCCCCTATAAAGTTTATGTACACATTCATGAAGATTGCTGGTTACATTTCATTTGGGTGACATAAATTTAAAAGGATTTATGCCTCTAGATATAACAGTAGAAAAATCATTCAATAGTGTCTGGAACCTGGTGATTACATTTTTAAAGGAACATTGAGTTTGGAATTGACATTTAGATAAGAGAAGTAGAGACAGGGGTGGAGAACAAACGTTTTCACACAGCTGAACAGGAGCAGTGATGGTTCATAAATTTATTTTTTGTCATACATTTCAATGATAGCAGCTTTCTGTGTGTGCTTTAAATGTTCCTCCTGCAGTGCAGGAATTCCCACTTCAGTGGTGGAGATCTAGAAAGGGAAACTGTCCAGGAACACACACTGACTGTTTTCATTTTCAGATGGATGTACAGAACAAGTAAGATAAAGACAGCAAAGCAGATTGCATTTGTATGTTTTATTCTTGTTTTATGACTCAAGTGGTTAAAAAAAGCTAAACAAATTATCTTCCTTAAATATGGTCCAAATTGTTAGCTTGTGTAAATTTGTGACACTGTTTGAGAAACTGGCCCTTCATTTAAACAGAAAGCGTGCTTGGCTGCTATGCAGCTTTGATGATGCCATCCAGTTGATTTTCTTCAAGAAGGACTGCCCATCATTCAGCCCTTAAATGTTGCTTTAAGCAAATGTTTCCAGGAACTTTTTGGCTGGGCTTTTCAAGGCCCTGTGCAGCTGAATACCCGATACCTTTAAGATGAAGATGCCAGGTGCTGGATATATAATACTAAGAAAAACACCATCTCAGCATTGCTGAAGATGGCTGTGACTGATGAGGAGCAACTCGCCCTCTCACCCCCACCAGAATTGTCTTTTAAAGATCTGTAGCCTACTACCTGTATCCAAACTTCACTGTCTTCCCTGAACTGCCTAGTGGATTTTCTGTGTTAGCAAAATTCTTGCTCAGCAGTGGAAGAAGTAACACAGAGGTGTGACAAGTCTTACTTGCGATCTTCCTCTTCTGCATTAGCTGAGGGCTGTTTGAATGAAGCCAGTGACTTGGAGAATTATAGGACTCAGAAGAGAGTTACTCCTGGGGCATGGCCTTGGCGAGATCTGGCCATGTGGTCTCTTCTCCAGGGCTTTGTTCTCTTCTAGGCAGCAGGCAGCTGAGCTCCCTTTGGTGTCTGTGCCTTCATTTAACTCCTAGATGTGCCTGTATGGAAGGGCAAGCCAAAATTTGTGTTGCACAACCAAAGCATGACATCACTTGTGTTACTGCAGGAACCCTACAAGCACTTGGGGTGCAGGTTGGGTTTTTTTGGTCTGTGAGTTACATGGATTGATCCTGTCAAAACAGCACTGTGTGTGCTGTGTGGCTTTGGAGCCAGGATGCAGCTGATTGTCTGTTTCCTTGTTCTCAGGTTCTTGTCTTGGTTGTGAAGCAGATCTTTCCAGATTTTGAGTTCATGTGGCTGGTGGAAGAAGCTAAGAAGAATCTGCCCTTGGAGCTGGATTTCCTCAATGAAGGCAGAAATGCTGAGAAGGTTGCTCATATGCTCAAGAACTTTGACTTCCTGAAGGTGAGGGAACACATATTTCTGTGTATGTATGTACATTAATAGTCTCACTTAATGTGTCTTGTGCACCTCATTCACCACCTGGAGGAACCATACAGAGGGAGAATGGAGTTCAGTCCCTCTGTGTTGTTCATCCTAGACTGCTCTGCTGATACGGACCAAAAGCTGCTCTGAGATGTGCTTCCTCATTGTCTGTTTCCTACTGTCAGCACCGTATATTGTATGAGGATTGGTGGCTTGGGGCCAGCAGTCTCTGGAGCCTGCTATTCATTTCCCCAAACACTGTTTCTGACCTTGTCCAGAGACGTGTGAATTTGCCATTCTTTGCTGAGCCATCTGATGGTACCTTTTCCTGGGCTTTCATAGAATCGTCTAGGTTGGAAAAGACCTTTAAGATCATCAAGTCCAACCGTTAACCTAGCATTGCCATCCCACCACTAAACCATGTCCCTAAGCACCTCATCTACCCTTCTTTTAACTACCTCCAGGGATGGGGACTCGACCACCTCCCTGGGCAGCCCATTCCAGTGCCTGACAACCCTTTCGGTGAAGAAGTTTTTCCTAATGCCTAGCCTAAACCTGCCCTATCTCAACTTCAGGCCATTTCCCCTCGTCCTATCGTCCATTACCAGGGAGAAGAGGCCAACCCTCACCTCACTACAGCCTCCTTTCAGGTAGTTGTAGAGGGCGATAAGGTCTCCCCTCAGCCTCCTCTTCTACAGGGTAAACAACCCCAGTTCCCTCAGCTGCTCCTCATCAGACTTGTGTTCCAGACCCCCCACCAGCTTCGTTGCCCTTCTCTGGACACGCTCCAGCACCTCAATGTCTTTCTTGTAGTGAGGGACCCAAAAATAAACACAGTATTCAAAGTGTGGCCTCACCAGCACTGAGTATAGGGGCATGATCACTTCCTTACTCCTGCTGGTCACACTATTCCTTATACAAGCCAGGATGCCATTGGCCTTCTTGGCCACCTGGGCACACTGCTGGCTCATATTCAGCCAGCTGTCAACCAGTACCCCCAGGTCTTTTTCCACCGGTCAGCTTTCCAGCCACTCTTCCCCAAGCCTGTAGCGTTGCATGGGGTTGTTGTGGCCAAAGTGCAGGACCTGGCACTTGACCTTGTTGAACCTCATACAGTTGGCCTCGGCCCATCGATCCGGCCTGTCCAGGTCTCTCTGCAGAGCCCTCTTCCCCTCGAGCAGATTGACACTCCCACCCAGTTTGGTGTCATCTGCAAACTTACAGAGGGCACACTCAATCCCCTCATCCAGGTCATTGATAAAGATATTAAACAAGACTGGCCCTAGAACTGAGCCCTGGGGGACACCACTTGTGACCAGCCACCAAATGGATTTAACTCTGTTCATCACAACTCTCTGGGCTCGGCCATCCAGCCAGTTTTTTACCCATAAAAAGTATAGGTTTATCTCAACTGAGGGCAAGAAATGGACATAAAACAGGAAAGCTAGACTAAAGCTGATGAAGTAGTATTTGGTACACTGTGTATCTCAGGAGGAAGCATGTTCGTACAAATCTTTACTCCTGCGAAAAAGCATATTCTCATTCTGGAGTTGAGCATACATCCTGCATATACATCCATGGCTAATGCCTTCATGTTACCTTCATACACAAACTCAGCTGCACCCATATTGTGCTCTTCCCCACTGACACTCTTACTCCACCTCCCCTGCTACACACTGACAGGTCACTGACAAATGTCCTAAGTACAACCAGACATGTACACATTCCCTTCTTTGCAGACATAAGCTCACATCTTTGAAGTTGCACATGTGCAAATCTTTTGCTGACATTCAAGAGGCACAAGCCTCCACTGTGTGCATTCTGGAAATACACAATTATGGTCAAGGACACATAGGGCTATGGGCACAGTCAACTGATGTAATACATAAAGGCAGCAAAAAATGCACCCTCTTTTGAACCCCCTGCATACACACATCAAAATGAGGCTTTCACCCTCTGTTTATGCAGAAATCCCAAGATGGAAGCGACAGATGTTTGAAATGAGGCGAGTTTTTGTTAGACTGTACAGGCTGAGGCATCCATTTTCTCCTTGCTTCCTCCAGTCCTTTTGGAGCCCAGTGGCAGCAGTGGCCTTCCCATAGACATAAATAGCTAAAAGCTACCAGGGCTACAGAAGGCCAAAGGCCAATGATTTTGCTGAGTGGGCGCTTATCAGAAGTGATGCACCTTGGAGAGCTGTATCCGTTGCAGCTGTAACTAGGATACTGTGAAGTAAATCCCCATGGAGACGGCCAATCACCTCCTCGCTGGGTTAAGGAGCTATCATGATATCGATATGTGTAACAATAACAAATGGCTTGAGATGGCTAAATAATGGATCCTCCCGTCTGACCTGCCAATTCAGAGACGTGTTCATCACCCAAAGGCAACAGAAGAATGGGGCTCCTGTATCATTAATTTTCCTAAACACGGTAGAAAGCTGAGAAGTAGATTTTCTGCTGTGAACCTGTTTGAGCTTTTAAAGCCAGAGATAAATTGTTTCCATGCACTAGCATTACAGCCAAACATCTGTGAGTAATTAAAAAAAATCACTGAAGAATTTGGCTGTGAGCGAGAGGCATCTCTGAGAGCATGGATAGTGCTTTACAAGCCCACTGACTTGCCCCTGTAAATCTTGAGAAAAGAATGAGTGTCATCTGAAATTATCTAAGTCAGCAGGGATAAGTGAGCTAGATGGGCTGGGGAACTGTTTTGGAGTCGGTTTGCTTTCACACCAATCTAACTGCAAAGAATGGACATCCAGATAAGCTGGGAAGGCTGTGTGTAACTGAATCCCCCTTGCCCACAGGGGATCCCTGGCATCAAAGTCTACACAAGGTTAATAGGCGAAGTACACCAGGAGTGTTGAATGGTGGGACTGAGGGACTTGGAATTGCTCAGCAAGGGAGTCTTTGATCTAAAGCAGCACACATGTGGTACAGTAGAAGTGGGTGACATTGGGAAATGGTCTCTCTAGGACAGGAACAGTGGGGGAGGCAGACAGTTTGTGAGGGACTGAGACACTGTCAGTATTTTCAAGCAGAGTATAAAACAAATGCTGCTGTTCAGGAGTTACAATGAGCTGCAGTGGCCTGGCTGGTTCCTCTGGCTTTGGTCACACTAGATGGACAACACCTCTTACCTCTTCCTGTCCTGCCCCAAAGTGCTGGACCCTTGCAGTGTGTGAGTCCTGAGTCCACGGCCAAGTCAGGCGGGTGAGGAGAGGGGGCTGCACAGCTGGCTCTCTCTTTACAGGATCAAAAATGTGTATCTCTCTGCTGGGGCACAGTAATGGGAGTGGGTGGAGTTCCCTTATATCTTTGGTAAAATGTACCTGTGTGTCTTCACCCATGTGCAAAAGCAAATCCGGACAGCTTGGGAGATTGGTCAGTACAGTGACATGAGGAATATCCAAAAGGAACTTCAGCAAAAGGACTCTTGACAGTAGAGACTTCAGCATGGAAAGAGTTTGGCTGGAGAGAGAAAAGGGGGATCCAGCCTGAGCAATGCCTGCGTCACTGCCTCCCTGGGTGACACTGGGTCTCTTACTGGTACCTCACTCAGCTTGATTTACTGCAGATTGAATGAAAAGTGCTTTGACATTTTACACTTGTTACTGTGTCACGTTGGCAATCAGATAGTTAAGGGTCTCCCAGGGTTTCTGTGACAAGCCCTTTATTTGTGACACTTGATTTTTCTCCCAGTTCAATTGCAGATGGCCTAAGTATGCAGGGTTTGTCAGCTCGAAGGCGTTTGTGTTCCAAGGGGCACTGCAGAGATACAATTTATGACGATGGCTTATCATTTTTAGAGCTGCATAAGTGGGCCCTGTGCACAGCAAACAAGATGTAGTTCCTGTCTAAAGGAGCTGAGTGGATGATTCAGAAACTTCCAATAGGTACTAGTTAAACAGCCCAGCTAGAGGAGCTGCAGAGCAGATAAGAAAGCTCTCGGACATCAGTGGGAGTGGGCGGTGGTCAAAATCTTGTAGAGCATGGCCAGAAATGTTGCACTAGGACAGATCTTGCTGCTGTTGAATTGATGTGTTGTCCTTGCACACTGCTGCTGTCCTGTGGAAGAGGCTGGTAGATGAATTTACCTCCCTTGGGCTCAGGAAAAAAAACAAGTCCTCACTTCAGCCTCTTCCATTTTTATCCTTTTCTGGGTTGTGTGAGAGAGATTGTCCTTGCTTTCCCAGACTGTTGTTTGACCCAACCCATCTGTTCCTGTTTCAGGTCCCCAGGATCTACTGGGAGCTCTCAACAAGGCGTGTCCTTCTCATGGAGTTTATGGAAGGGGGACAGGTGAACGACAGGGCCTACATGGCGAGGAATGGCATCAATGTCAATGAGGTAGTTTCTCAGCCATCTCTGAATTGGATGTTGTGGGCAGTGAAAAACTGATGCTGACATTAACTGATGTTGATGCAAAATGGAGGCTGACAGGACAGGAGGGGACAGAAAAGGGACCACATACAGATGTGAACAGAGCGATCAATCTGAGAGATCTCAGTTCTTGTGCTTGTGGGAAAAGTATGTGACCTCTTTTGGGGAACACTCTCCTGTAGGCTGCGCAGCTAGACAGATCTTCAGGGAGAGAGAGTGAAAGATGATCATGCTCTTATATTACATAGGCCCATGGTTTGTTCTAAGATGGTAGTTCCTGTTACCCTAAAGGAACAACTTCAGCTTCTGATTCTTTTTGTCTCTCTTCTTTCCCTCTCTTCCTTCCACATTAACTTTCTCCTGGACAAATGCATGGGATGTAGCTTTTATATCCCAACAGCTATCACCTTATGCAGGAGATACAAATCATAGGTCTTACATGATCACAGTTATCAGAGTGCTGGAGCCTCAGCCATGGTGGTTTGTGTAATATTCTGACATGGACTGTTTTCTTCTGCTTTCCAAAATCTCCCTTTTTCTTTCGGATGCAACAGTTTTCTTCTTTGCTCTCTGGCCCAGCGTTACTGCGGAGCTTTGTAGCCCTTCACTAAACAGCTGCCAGATTTCATCCCTAGAGAGGCTACATTTCCCTGACGAGTGAAATAGTTTGTATGTGTGGCATCCGTCCAGTCAGAAAGGCTTGTTTTGATACATTAATAGGAGGACTCTTGAGCAATACGTGCATTCAGATTTTATGCTGGGCTTCCTCATGGTTCTTGGACAGCAGATGCACTCTGAGATCAAGGTAGCTAGCATAGTGTAGCTCCCTGGGACTTTGGTTGCTTCTTTGAATTTTCTCAAACTGCTGGAGATAGCAAAGTTGTCTGGAGAAGCCTAGGGAAGAACATTCTTTGCCATCTTCCATAGCTTTCTTCAGCCAGTCAGGGTAGAAATTCAATTACTTCAGCCTTTCAGTTGGATATTTTGCTGTCAGTATGTGCCAAAATAACGTAGAGAAGCAGCTATTTTCAGTTTTTCTAACTTGCAGGGGCTTTTGCTTGCAGTAGCAGAGATTTAGGGTGAAAATTGAGCTCATTTTTTTGTTCATCCGTGCCTTTTGGAAGGTCATTTTGTGACATCTTGGCACAGTAAGTTCCATGAAGCAATGAAACCACATATTTTGCTGATTCTGAGCTGGTCTCTAGATGGTGGCTAAGATGTAATTGCAAAAATGTTGTCAACAGACTTCTTCTACTGCAAAGTATAAGCCTCAGAGGTTTCTGGCAATCTGTCAGGTATAGGATGTTACTCAGCTCAGTGGCAGGACTGAGTTTCTGCAAACTCTGTGCCTGTGTTAAGCTGTTTTTTCTTCCTTTTCTCTCCCCACCCCCTGAAATTAATGATTAACTTTTACTGATTGCCAGTAAAGCAACAGTAGAAAGGAGGGAATACTGAGCCTGTCAGAATCATGTCATGGGGAACAAGGCCTGTTGTTATGGCCACAGGAAGATGAGGTAGGAGTAGATAGGAGGACTCTTGAGCAATACGTGCATTCAGATTTTATGCTGGGCTTCCTCATGGTTCTTGGACAGCAGATGCACTCTGAGATCAAGGTAGCTAGCATAGTGTAGCTCCCTGGGACTTTGGTTGCTTCTTTGAATTTTCTCAAACTGCTGGAGATAGCAAAGTTGTCTGGAGAAGCCTAGGGAAGAACATTCTTTGCCATCTTCCATAGCTTTCTTCAGCCAGTCAGGGTAGAAATTCAATTACTTCAGCCTTTCAGTTGGATATTTTGCTGTCAGTATGTGCCAAAATAACGTAGAGAAGCAGCTATTTTCAGTTTTTCTAACTTGCAGGGGCTTTTGCTTGCAGTAGCAGAGATTTAGGGTGAAAATTGAGCTCATTTTTTTGTTCATCCGTGCCTTTTGGAAGGTCATTTTGTGACATCTTGGCACAGTAAGTTCCATGAAGCAATGAAACCACATATTTTGCTGATTCTGAGCTGGTCTCTAGATGGTGGCTAAGATGTAATTGCAAAAATGTTGTCAACAGACTTCTTCTACTGCAAAGTATAAGCCTCAGAGGTTTCTGGCAATCTGTCAGGTATAGGATGTTACTCAGCTCAGTGGCAGGACTGAGTTTCTGCAAACTCTGTGCCTGTGTTAAGCTGTTTTTTCTTCCTTTTCTCTCCCCACCCCCTGAAATTAATGATTAACTTTTACTGATTGCCAGTAAAGCAACAGTAGAAAGGAGGGAATACTGAGCCTGTCAGAATCATGTCATGGGGAACAAGGCCTGTTGTTATGGCCACAGGAAGATGAGGTAGGAGTAGTGCATACCACAGACCTCTCCTCTGGCAAGGTGCAGCAGATGGGGACAAATATGACCAAGGTCCATTGTCAGCTGCTGCTGTTGATGCCCTGGGTAAAGAACTACGTGGCATGGTGGTGAAGTGAGCAAAAGGCAGCAGACACGGAAAGGAACATGAGGAGGGGGTGGCAACCCAGGTTTTAAAACTATGACATGGCTTATAATATACAGCAGTTCTGGCTTTCAAGAGATGCATTAGCTCCCTATAAATCACCTCAATCTACCTATCTATCTATCAACCCCTCTATCATCTTACTCCATTTTGTTTTACTGGGCGGAGGAAGAGGAGTCTTCACTAAGCAGGATTTCTCTTGTGTGACAATGCAGCCTTGAAAAGCAAGCTGAGCCTCTCTCCTCTAAATGGAAAGGATCCCTGAGGTGAAAGCTCCCTTCAAACCAGGTTACTGACATTTACTTAATACCGTCTGTAGCAGGATTATCATTAAAGCTGCCCAAAAGCACATTAATCTCTCTGGATCCGTCCAAGCGCTGGATTGTAATGGCATTTAATCAGAGAAGGCTTTGATTTCTAAAGACAAGTGCAAACACTGAAATATCTGCCTGTGGAACAGTTACTTATTCATGTGCAAGGATGAGCGTGCAGCTAGGATATTGACAGTGGGAGGGAAGCCTGGAGAGGGAAATTATCAAGAAATGAGCTGGCATGAATTTTGAGAGAAGACCAGGCCATGGCAGGGTTAAGAAGGGGACCACGTGGAAGCCAAGCTGTTCCTGTTTCAAGACACAATAGCATTCACAGTCCTGGTTGGAAGAGGTGAGTAGAGCAGGGGAGAGAGGAAAAATACACTGAGGGGCTCTCAAGATGTTTGTAGCATACTGTATGCAGGAAGGAAGGAAGGATAGTGAGGCTATTTAGAGCATGGACTTTTAAAGAAGATCTCAAATGGCATGAATACTCCTTTTGTACCCATTCTGATTTTACCAGATTCATTTAGAGAGATCTTGTTTGTATACAAATCTTAACATTATCTCTGATCTGTTTCATGGGTCCTCCCTGTCCCTCCTTGTGGATGCTCTGCCTATCTCCATGGAGGCTGCTGGACCAGCAGGCTGTGGGAGCTGTGGAGCTTACAGATGCATTTGTGACATGTGCTGTATTGCCTCAAACTAACCAGCCAGCTCAGGTAGCCAAGTGGAGAGTCCCCCATGATCGCCCTGGCTTGGACTTGAGTCAGGGAAAGGAAATGATGCCTCAGCTCAGTAAGAGCCTGGTCATGAGCTGTGGATGATTCAGAAGTCAGGGAAGTGGTTTGTCCAGCTGAAAAGTGAAAGCAAACAGCTAAGGTACTTAAGATGAGCTACTGTGTGCAATTATTGCCATCTGTCACCCCATTCTACTGTGGCTTTTTGCTTCCTTCTGTTACTAAATGGGTTCTGCACTGGAATGGTATCTCTTAGCTCAATAAAGAGCCCAGCTACCTTCTCATGGTTGACAGCTTTGAAACTTGAAATATGCTTTCAGTGTGGAATTTACCCTTCTGCCAAGAGTCAGGAGCCGCTGCCGTGTAGCTGCTAAAATTTAAGTGGGATTTCCCAGGGTGGGATCCCTTTGCCAGCACAATTGTGGAAAGCTATCATGTCTCGAGTATTTGTGCTTACAACACTCAAGTGTTAGATGAAATGGAGCATGGAGAAGAATGCTGTTTCTGAGGAACGTGGATAGTCTTGCTCTTTGCACCTGCTGATTTAGCCTAGGGAGAGATTTCCTTGCAAATTCTCCTACATTACCTCTTGTCTGAAGCTTAATGAAAATTCACAAGGCTTACCATTGTAAGTGAGGATAGTGACCTCCAGCATTTCCAGCTTCTGAACTGTGCAAAGACACCAGGTAAAAGAGTTAAGTTACACATGAACCCATTTCTTACTGAAAGTCAGTCTCAAGCATCAGTCTCAATCAACTGTGTAAGTCTCAGCAAGATGCTTTACATTAAATCCATGGAAACCTGACTACATTTAAAGCCAAGTGATGCCTATGGCCATTTTGGGTCTGACAGAGATGCAAGAAACAATTAAATAAACAACGACTGGTCTTCTTTACCTGTGTCCTTTTGAGAATATATAGAAACTTATCAAGTTAGTCCCTCAGTTCTCTGGGTAGATGAGTCAGAATATTTCTTCCCACTTAAATGCCATGGAAGATGGGGCATTGAGCAGGAAAATAATTTCCTCAGTCCCCAACAGAGAGCATGGGGCATGCTAGGAGTACACTCCAGGAGTCCTAAAAACTATTCCTGTATCTTAACAACACTGTGTGTGTCCAGACATCACATCTTGCTGTGATGCTAGATCAGTGCATGGTGATAGTACTGCATTACAGAGCACTGTGGTTTTGATCCTCACAACCAGATCACAGAAGGGCAGAGTGTGAAATCGTATCTCTTGTATGTGACCATCCTAATCTGCTATGGACAAGAGCCATTTCAGAGCAGAGACACAGAGCAGGCTTCAAATTGTGGCTACTCTCCATCCGCACCCTTTTCTAATTTGACACCAGTTTAATTGGGCAGGATTGCCCTAGCAGGATTAAGCAAACCCTTAGATGATGGCTGTAATAACAACAATGAAAGAAAGCAAAA